CTCCTCAGCCCAGTGCTTTCAAAACAACCCTCCCTCACTGAATGATTCCTTCTCCCAGCGTACAATGATGGCAGCATGGCTGTGCCTGTCACGGTGGATCCAGACCGGGTATTTATGCCAGTTAAGACTGTCGAGAGACTCGATCATACTGAACTGATAGGGGGCCAACGCAAGGGTACGCTGCGAAGGGATGGACATGCGGCGCTCCCGGGCAAGCACCTTTGAGTCTTCCAGATTCATGTCGAGCGTCTCGTCGTCTTCTTCCGTTTCCGTTCCGAGGTAGTCTTGGTGCTGCGCGTTGTTGAGCGCTTCGTATGCGTGTTCCACCTCGGTGCGGATCTCGTTGATCCAAAGGGGGAAGCTCCGATAGTCGGTGACCTTGACACCCGCCCGTCCCTCCTCATGGAGGCGGATCCGCTTCGATGAGCGCACGGTTTGGATGCATGAATTGATGAGGAACCCAATGATACCGATCGGAACGAATATGGTGACAGCCAGCATGAAGGGAACGCTGCGAAGCCAGGAGACGGCAGAGACAGCAATGGACGAGAGGGTTGCGGGGGTTCCCAGGTTCGGTTTGGACGAGAAGGGGTTGTGAGGGTCCAGGACGACGTCTTCATAGTCTTGAACATAATTGATCTGCATGGACGAGAGGTCGCGGTAGGGGTCGGTTTTGGAGATGCAAGTGGTGTAGAAGACGGCGCTTCTGTCGTTGACCATGTTGCTGTACAAGGTGTGTCTCTTGAACTTCTTCAGGCCCGACATGAAGATCGAGTTGGGATCAGCCAAAACCACCAAGAGGGGCCGGCCCGTGTCGCGAAACTTGTCAATGGTAAAAAGCTGGCGTCCGGACATGGAGAGAGTCCTTGCGCCGAGGACGTTCCAAACGTGGTTGTGCCATCCTTTGAGAGGCGTGCGGACACCGAGATGAGGCGAGGCAAACGTGGTGAAGTTCTGTGCGCTGGGCGTCAGTAAGAGGCATCAAGGCTCAACGTCGAACGACGGCCCTTACCATGCACTCGAGCTTGTCTAGCAACCCCTTTGCATAGAGGAGACCGACGGCATAGCGTGCGACGAGACCACCGAGCGAGTAACCGACGATGCTGATTTTAGTGATGCTGCCTCCTCTCTTCTCGATCAAGCCAATCTCTTCCTCGATCTCGGCGCACACACGCTCGCCGCCGCGCTCGATGCCATCGTAGGTGAAGCTCCCGCTATTTCTTTTGGCGAGGAGGAGATAGAGCTTGTCAGCAGGATACTGGGACCGCAGGCTTTTCGCAATGTTGGCCATGTGATTGGGGTTTCCCCAAAGCTACAGCAGCCTCGGGTGGTTAGCAGGTGATCCCAGGCGCAACGACGTCCCACAGGTAGGTGGGTAGGTAGGCAGCGTGGGGTGACGTAGGTGATTTCTGAACATACCCCGTGAACCAAGACGCAGAGATGGTCAGCCTCTGCGCTACCGCCGGTATAATCCATGATGCAAGAGTAATCAGAAGAGATCAGGGACCGGTCGATAGAGCGTACGGAAAAGGGCAACAACGTGTGGGACAGGGAGAAGTGGTGAGCTGGAAGGAAGAGGGTGAGCGTCTACAATAAGACGCAACAACCCTCCCCAACAGGCCCGTGGCGAAGCTGGTCGTCCGCCGGAGCTTCGGGGGCGCTTAGAGGCCGCGCCCAGGTTCTCCTGGCGGCCCTGGCGCCTCTGGTGCCCCCAACCTGCCCCAACCTACCCTAACTCCAGGCCTGTGGGCTCCTCTCGTCCAGGCTCTCCAGGGGACGCGTTGCTCCCGGAGGCCACCTCCTAAGTCCGATGCACCTGGATCGGGGGCGCCTGATCAGATGCCAGGCAGGTACCTAATGTACCTAGGTAGGGTACCTAAGACACCTAGGTAGGTAGGTAGGTAGGTAGACAGAGACAACGACCGCGTGATGAGTTCCCTATGGCGATGGTGAAATGGTCTTGCTATGCCGTTCCAAGTAGCTTTGGAGAAGCAGCAGCAAAGAGATGGCAGTCGTAAAGCACACGAACAGAGTGTGCTTTATAGGTATGCAGACATGGCCGATACGCTCATGCCCCTGCGTAGGCCCGGGTTCGCACTCTCCGTATCGCAATCACCATCACACAGCAGCGGGCGCGCGCTCCTGACCACGGCGCCGATAAGGAAGGCGGGATGCAACGGGCCTGGGGCAGCTTTCGAGACCACACCGCCACGAGCATTCAGAGATCTTTATCAGATTGGAGATAAAGACTGTGTTTCTGCGGTGAAGGGCCTCCCCTCCCCTCCGAGGCCCGGCCATGATAGGCAAGTCCTTACTGACTGCCACAGCCACGGCGTATTTTTCCTTTCCTTTGTCGTGACGTCTAGGGATACGAGTTGAGACAGAAGGAGTCATGGGCTTTTCTCATGTGGATCATGAACAGCGTTAGACAAGATGGGCGATTACGACCCAAGTAGTTGTTGAAGGGATGGCCTTCTCTGCACTCCTCTGCTGCCAGTTGAAGGCTACCTACCAGGTAAGGTAGGCACCCATCCACATCGCCGCTGGACCACTTACCTAATCTCGGCCAGCCGATTGACTTCATCCCATCCCTGTACTCTTTGACCCTGATCCGTCAACCGCCCAACAATGCGCCCTCCACTTCAGGTTGGCGACGACACGTACAAGACACTGTTGACGTTTGAGATCTCATCCCATTACTGATGCCAGCGGGCACACCACGCGGATATGGGCTTGTGCACCTCATGCTCTGTTTGACGGCTTTTATCCTCCATCTCATGACCAGTGGCTCTCATCATTCATCCATGCTTTCATTGGCTCCTAAACATTGTCCAACTCTCAGCTGCCTAGGTGCCTACATATCTCTAGGTGAGGTACCTACCCAGGTAACCTGCCTTACCCGTATCAGTAGGTACGCCCTCAGCGAGGAAACTTGCCCATTCTGATATCTTCATTCGCACCCTTCTGTAAGTTTTCACTTCATCTCATTCCTCCCTTTTTGGTTTCTTTTCCTGTCTTCTCCATTCATCAAATTTGCCCATGAGTCTTTGGTCAGTGGGCGTCTCATCCCTGAAGACACCTCAGTTCAAAGAAGCCGTGGCTAGCAATAGGGGCCTTGTACCTCACGCCTACCTCACATCTACCTTGCATGAGCCTGCATTCAATACCGAAATCAAACGGCAGAGCTGACTAAACAGATGCAAAGGAACCTGCTATACTTGCTATCTGCCCTGATCAGCCGGCTTGCCGTCACAACACGACATGGCTTCTTTCCTGAACCTCAAACACCTCCCCTGCCCAGCTGGGGAGACCTGCACGGCCTTCCAATGCATGTTCGGCCATAAAAAAGACAGTCCCAGCTCCGCCTCTCCATCACAGGTCGCGAAGCCAGGCACATCTCGACAGAGACCAGACGACGGT